TCTCCTTTGCCAACACCAGGGTACCTTCCATTATTATCCGAAGCTTCAACCCCACTCACACCCGCCACGCTACATGGAACACCGCATTCTACATCACCTGTACCAGCTAACAGTCCTAGGATAAGTTTTCGAAGTTTCACTTTACCTTTAGAGATCGACGAAGAACAAAGCAACGCGAACAAATTGAACAGAACTAGCGTGTCTTCCGATAAATCATCCGACCCTAGTCATAGGTTATCCGTAAACTTAGAAGGACAGAGTAACGCTAAGTCCTGCGAGAGGATAATGACATACGACAAACATGTAGATTTGTACGATGATAAAGAGTCTTCCAAGGCTCAAAAGACTTCGAAGGAATCGAACCTAGTTGTATCAGACGTAGTCGACCAAGACATGACACCTTGCGATAGGTTAATGTCTCATCCTAGCGAGATAGAATCTAGTAAAGTAACCATGTCTCCGTGTAAAGACGTAGAAAATAGATCGAGCTCCTGTTCCGTTGACGATAATAAATCTCACTGTGACAACAGAGACACGTTGGACGTGAGAAAACACGATGCATCGACCAACAAATCGATCGGTTCGCAGCACGACGATGCCATGGCTGGAAATTCAAACGCACACAGAAACGAATTGCCAGGACTGCCACTATCTAGCGCTACCGATCTAGATTCTCCGATGTCATGCGAGCAGACTATCGAGGACTTGCCCGATTCCGGTTTTGTGATTTGTGATAACTCCGACAAGATATTCACCAACACAGAAACGTCACAGATGATATCGAATACCAACGATTCCGGCGAATGGGTGATAGTCGAGACTACGGGCTCGATCACGACACCGACGAGCGAGTCGAGCAGTTCGAAGGATCCTTTGGAAGGCACCGTGAATAACGCGATCGCGACTGATGCACCGCAACTGAGATCCATGTCGGAGAACGTTTCCAGAACCTCCTTGGATCTCACTATGGGCTCAACAGTAGACACAGATACATCGTGCATCGGTGTCAGTGATTTAACCGAAAGTCCCGTTCTTCCTCAAGAATCTGCCGAGATGACATTTGACGTTGCCGACAACAGAGACCTCGAGGAACACGACGCTACCGCGCAGAGGACTTCTAGAGCTTTCGAGGACCAAACGAGTTTCGGGATGGTCAACTCTGGCAATAATTATTCAAACATCGTTCACTCGCCCATACACGATCAGGATAATGGAAATCAGAAAATTCGCACCGTTAGTATGACGGACATTCGTATGAACCAGAAATCTAGCGAAATGGAGCACGAGGTCACCGCCTGCTATTCGCAACTAGACAACACCGAAGCCTTCAACAGGAACGAGAATCCAGCAAAGGAAGAAGCTGTGGTAGAAGAGAAGACCTTCGAAAGCTCTCAACGCTCTTCGAAAAGCCACTCAGACTTTCAGCAGAAAGAAATTCGACGTTCTTTGCAGCTACATCAGAAGCCACAATTCCAAGCAAACGATCGCCGTTCGTTCTCTAATCAATCAAAGAAGAGCCAGGATCTGGATCTATCTTTGGCCAATACGGATAATAAGCAACGCAGTCAGAGTCAAAAGCCAGAAAAGTGCCAAAGCTTCGAATACGTTTCACCAAAGGAATCAGCTCAGAACAGTCAGCAACACAAACAGTTCCCTACACGTACCGAGGACCCTTCTAAATGTAACAACGTGAAGAACAGTCAACTGCAAGAGCACATAGAAGTAGTAATACCATCGGAAAATGCTGCCGAGCCCAGTGAGATAGCTCATCCCCCGGAAGGTGCATCCGAGCCAACGTCTTTAAACTCATCTTGTACTTTCTCGAATGCATCTTCTCCAGTGGATGATTCTATCGTTCTTCGAGATACGGCCGCTATACTTCAAGAGTTAGCGTTGCAAAGATTATCTGGAGGCATTGTGGGTGACTTGTCTGTTCCTCCGCGAAGAAGATACGAAACGGAGAATAATAAAGATCGAAGAAGCTTCGATTCTGAGATCGGTAGAGAGATAGTTCGTGAAAGGAAGATGAGGCAGGAACTGGACTCTGCTCGGGGAAAATCGGAAGAGCCACCGGTGAATAATACTCAACATCTGCCGCCATGTTTGAGAGCTCGTCACGCAAGAGCGACACGAGCGTCTCTTAGTAGATCGTTAGACGAGGCAAAGTTTAACAAAATGTCAGAGGAAGCTTCTCTACCTGTGAAACAAGCTACGGAGGACGTACAGCACAGTTCCACACCTAACGTTGGAACAGGATCGTCGAATAGTTCCTCGGCTAATTCCGATAAAACGCATCTAAAGAACCTAGGTGGTTTAGACTTGGGCGATCCCCAGTGCAGAGAAAGGATAGAAAAGTACAAAGAAGAGAGGAGAACGTTCTTAAGGGACAAGTACAGATCGGAGAGTTTTCGAGGGATGTTATCGAAGACAGAAGACGATGGGGAGCAGGCGCTTTTGGCTAGGCTAAAACAGAGAGCCACTAGGCCCTCCCTTCATTGATATTAAAGTAATATTTATGGAAACGTTTTGTCAACTTTTCCCCACGCGTTGAATAATTGAATTAATTGCCTCTGCAATCGCGTCATGCGATCAAATATGATGTATTCTAGTGAACTGTTCGTTGTAACGATCATTGCGTCTAACCCTTTGCTCTCAACGTTTGTTCGAACTTTTTTGATGTACGTTTTGTCCTTTTTATTTGTTTTTTTTTTTTAAGATTCCTGTGTTAAATATGGATACTATAGGACAAGAGTATGATAAGCTAAATTCTGTTGTTTTTTTTTTTTTTACAAAGAAAAAGGTTTTAAGAACCAATACATTGTTAATCAGTCTCACGTTGTCGGAATTGTGTTTTTATTCGTTTTGAAGCTTTTTCGGTCAATAGTTTTTAAAATTAAAGAAAAATAATACTCGTTATAATATTGAGATATTATGCGAATATCGAAGATATTGAAATATCGCTCGTCTTAAGAATTTCGCCTCTTAGAAGCCATCTGATCAACTCTATCTTTTAAACAACAGCAAACACCAAGATAAATTTAAGAAATGGCTTCTGCAGTGATGACTCGATCATACTTATGCTGAACGATTCAGCAGTTATTAAAAGACTCGTTTTTGGACCTAACCAGGCTTTCAGACTGTTTCCATTTTTAATTGTCTCATTGTAAAATCCTGCTATTTAAGCGCGAAGTAATACCAAAACTAGCAAAGATGAGAGATGTGCTTATCATTGCTTTCTCCTGATTTCTATACGAGAACAAGTATTTAATTTTAGTTTGAGTAATTGTTCTATACGAGAGGAAGCGAATCTCAGTATTTTACGATATGTTCACCGTAGGTGGTAGGAAATCGACTAAATTGTAATTTTAAATCGACAAATCGATGGTCCAATTTCAATGAACGTATGTACGATCAAGTTTTCGATGTTAAATACGTGTAGCAACACGCAGCGAAGATTATCGGACGTTCTGCCATGTTTTCTTTTCCTTTTTTAAAGTATTATCGTATACGTTTAATTAGTAATATAGAATCTTGTTTAAGAGGCGCTGTATTTATGTTCTTCTGCGTCCTAGATTAGTCGAGCGTGAAGGGTTAAAGGCGTGGGATTTAACGAAGTCGATTAAACACGAGTGCTAGAACGAAAAAAAAAAAGAAGACGGTCTGACGATTGACGCTTTTAAAAAATGAATTCAACGGGGAACGTTCGTCTCTTTTCTTTTTTTTTTTTTTTAAATTGCTGTTGTTAACAGAACAGTTCGATGATATACGAGTGTAATTTGTATCTTTTAATTTATTATTATAATTGATACTATATATACGTATATATTATTAGAATTATTTCTGTTATTGTTAACGCGTCGTGTAAGAAATCATTTCTCCCATTATTGTTATCGCTCCCAAAGATGTCCCATTTATTAAAGCTTTTCGCGCTGTTCTGTTAATCGACCCTTTTAATTTAAAACGATATGTACCAGAGTGTGTTGGGTTCGTGGACCGATTTGTTGTCGACCCTTTGCACGCGAAACTGCATTTTTTACGCGGGTTAAGCAAAAATCTAACTATGTAAGCTTGTTTGACAAATTTTACGCAAAGTTAAGTTTCCACGTACGAATTTATATGTATAAATATTCTCTTTGTGATGGTTGAGCTAAAAGAAAAAGAGTTTTCGAGTGACTGAGCGTCCGTAACGCGTAGTGCTTTAACGAGATACTGTTCTCTCGTGTTTTAATGTCATACCGTTCGTTCGAGAGTAACAGTAAAAAGGGAAAAAATTGAAAACAAAAAAAAAAAAGAACAAAAGTAAGAGAGAGAGAGAGAGAGACGTGAAACGACCAAATTGACAAATTCTATTATAGAAAATAGCGGAAATATTCGTTCTCATCTAGATTCGAAGTACGGGTGCAAAGGGATTAATGCTTTTCAGTGGAATCACGTGTCTTCGTATCGATCGATGTAATTGACTTACAAGATATGTTAATCAATACGCTTCCCTTTTTCTGTAAATTTCGTTGTTGCTCGCTGTTCCGTGTATTTTTATACGAGATGTGAAGCGTGCCGCGCCTTAATCACAGCGAGATGAAAGCTTGTTCGTTCGATAATTGTTCCAGATGCGTGCGTTAATTGTCCGAGCAATCTGTCGCTTCTTACTTTTTTCTCTTTGTTTTTGAATTTGAGTTATTCTGTTTGAATTTTTCTTTTCTAAGGACATTGTTAATTCTTTTATTTTATTATCATTTTTAATTATTTTTCTTTTTTTTTTGTTTTTTTTTTTAAGTTTTACACGTTCGTCTCCACGCCAATCGCTTGTCAGGTGTCACAGAAAGATAGCACGTAGCTAGAGATCTTTAAATATGTTAGATTTTATTAGCGATATATCGATGTCGAAAGAAATTAGAATACTCGTTGATATTCGTGTTCAATTTTACGTTAGAAGCTCTGGTACATTTGATGAATTTGTTGTTTGTACTTTACCGGAGAAGAAAAATTTTTCTTTTATATACATATATATATATACAAACAATTAAAGAACCATCGTATTAAATTAAGTATTCGATATACGCGTTCATATATTTTCTCTCTTTTTTGTCGTGGACTGGTCCATGGCTTCTATATAGCACCTCCTTTGTATATGCTTTATTATTATTATTATTATTATTATTATTATTATTATTATTATTATTAATATTATTATTATTATTATTTAGTCGACATGTAATATATTAATTTATACATTTTTTAGTTCGATCGTCGACGTAAAGAAGAGACTAGCTTGAAGTGAAGATTAATGCAGGACCGACTGTTTCGTTAAAGATAAACAATTTTATTTCACGATTACCATAGGATATTATATAATTCGTTTATCGATAGAGAGTTTCAACGAGAATAATTTTTTTATATTTATTTTTTCCCGTTTTTCTTTCGTACTGTAATTTTTACATTGTCAAGGAATTATTGTTCCAGTGTAAACGACGATCTACTTCTATTACGAATTATTCAGAATCTCAATGCTCGCATTTATCTTCGATCAGCGATTTTTATCTACTTATTACTGCTATAATTTACTCGTGAGTACACCAAGATCTATCAACAAGCTGGAGAATATTCGTTCTGTAGACCGGAAGAGCAAACGTGCGAGGATCGTTTAATCTTTCCCCCTGAACCCGCGATCTTGGTTCTCTCTTCTCCCAGCAACGAGAATAACCGAAACACCGGAAGAATCATCTTCTGTGACAGCATTTATATTTCATCTGACATCGCCATCGCGAACCAATGAATTAGTACCAAGTCTATAGACCGTCATTTTAACACTGTACATTTCGATCTCTGCCCGAATCAAACCACTTAACATACGTAGCTCAGAGAATCATCCTGTTCTCAATTTGTGATCCTGAAGATGCTCAAAACGAGAGAAGAAAGAAAGAAAAAAGAAAAAAAAAAAGAGCCGCTAGCAAAGTTTGCGTACGAATAACGACGAAACCTTTTTTAATCGAATTAATGTTAACATTGCTGGTGTGCGTGTTCCAGGATAGTCCCGATATTTTGCGTATTTTTTTATGCTACGATCATACAACAAGTAGTATGAAAACGGTTTTTCGCAAACCAAATTGCAAACCGAGCGACGACCAAGCACACATACTTTTACTCGAAACCTTCGAGAATACTTAAACCATATTAGTTACAATTTGTATTCGAATGTTTATGAAAAAAAAGAAAAGAAAAAGAAAAAAAGAAGAAAAACGCGAGAAAAAGGAAGGAAGAAAGATTAATACTTTATAAGGAGGAAATTTAATAACTTCCGAGAGGACGAAGGATTTTCTTTTTTTGATAGATGTTACGATAATAACGGCTATGATAAGAGTGAAAGGAAATTATCGACGAGAGAATGTTGCGTCGATAGGATGCGTTCGAGGGACGAGTCTCGAATTATTCGAACGATAAAAAGTTAGCGATCGAGTAGCGGTGATAATAGTGGAAACAGTTGATTATATTCCTCGTCGAATCACTCTTTTTTGCTAGCATTTCTCCTGTTCGATGTACACGTGACTCGCGTGATCAAACTTGTTAAAGCGTTCACGAACTATTAAAAAAAAGGAAAAAAAAGCTATACGAAGTATAAACGTTTCTATAGTGCGTGTCGAAAAAGACTGTAACAATTTGCATTTACAAGAAATTGCAGATTGTTCCAGTAGTATCGTTCGTTATAGTTTTCCATTGTGTTTCTCATTGAATTTAAATGAATTTGTAAACGGGCATTGATCATTCGGAGGGCTGTACAAATTCCGAATTTTCAACTTTTCAATTTTTGGATATTTACGATACTTCAGTTTATTAACAGTTGATTACTTGAAAATGCAGCATTACCACTTGATCATTTATTAAAGATAAATATTAACGGATAATTGTCAATAATTACTAGAACATCGGATGGTCAGTGCTTGATCCTCTCTGTTTTATCGGTAATCGTTATTTAGTTTTAATTGATTTAAAAAAAAAAAGGAAAAAAAAGAAGAAAAGGAAAGAGTCGTGAGCTCGTAAAATCCGTAAAAGATATGCATGCACAAGTAGCTTGTCCCAATGATGAAAATAAGACGAAAACTGTTTAGAGATATATTTAAAAAAAAAAGTGAAATATTTAAAGCGAACTTTAATAGCTGCTTCCCTGGGTACCAAATATAATAGGAAAGGCCTAGTTAGCGATATTTAAAATAATGCCTAAAGTAAATGAAAAAAAAAGAGAATGAAAAGCTCGAGAATACATCTATTTACGAGTATACTTCTGCACAATATAATGCGCAATAATGATACATCCGTAGGGTGTATATTTTTAATAATTTGAGATTTTCGCGGTTATACAGGATATAATAGTTATTATAGTCGTAGGATTCTGAGAATGAAAGAGAGAAAAAGATACACGCGCCTACTAGAAATTTAATATTTCCTGTGAGAAACGACGCAAAAGACTAATCCCTCGTAGTCGCAAGAGAAGGAGATAAGGGCTAACAGCAATCTTGTTTTTGAGCGTCGAAGACCCACCGTTCGTTAACCTTGAAAACCATTTTTATTCCCTCTCACCCTATCCTTCTTCTCTATTTCCCTTCAACTTCTTCTTCTTTCACAACGTTTTAGTTAGTATTCTTGTCGTACGACTGTTCTGTTATTAAACGATACTACTGTTTTTGCCTACTACAATTATAATTATAATATATGGAAAATTATATGTAAACAAATATAAATACTATAAATATCGGAGAAATCACGTCGCTCGTGTATTTTCACCTGTCTCTAATGCTTCCCCTCGAATTAAAAATCACGAGAGTATTCCATTTACAAAAATACTTTGTCTTTTTAAACATCACTTTACTGTTTCTTAACTGCTTCGTAATGTTCTATCGTACGTAGCTATGGCGATAGTAAAGTACAAAATCATTGGAATTAAATTTATACGTAATTCTATAATTAAAATTCATCTTGTGAAAGATAAACAACCGTTTAGTCATTTCTAAGCGGTAGCGGTATCTATATACATTGAATAGAATTAATTAACGCGGATTTATGTAGATGGCAGGACGACTGCGCCGATTGTTGACCACTATCAAAAATCGCGCCAAATTAGTGAACTCGTGATCTCTCATTCCGCCGATTGTTCTTCGTGATCCACTTTAAACTTACAAGAGTTCTTTAGTCTTTAGTTCTTTATCGTATCCTTCTCGGTCGATTCTCGAGTCTATTGAACGTCTACCCGATATTCGTTTCGTGATACGAGCAGTGTGTAGTGTATCCGTCAATTTAATAAGGCATATCCCCGTAGTACACCTTGTCACATTGTCATCGTCGAATAAACTCCTTTTCGAAGCGGTCTAACCTCTTAAAACGGTAAAGAACCTTTGGTCTTTACTTCTTTAAACGCGGTGATAGAGTGGTTGAAAGGTGAGGAGGCACTCGAGCGGTGCCGGAAGAGACGCGAGGACGTACTGAAGGGGTTGGCTGGGCTGCCTTTATGCCGTAACAACGAGGGCCCACTTCATAGGGCAGGAAGCACAAAGGTGAGGACGACTCCGTGACTATCGCTGAATCTTCCATGGTAATTATTTTTAAACACGTCCTGGAGATACGAATCTTTAGTGGCTCTAGCACCGAACGGCCGAGTAAACTTCTCGCATCTCCGTTGCCTAACTAAATAACCGGACTAATTAGACCGTAGCCATGCTTTCCAGCACGTTGTCGTCTGTATCACGTTGATAATTATTTTTTTCCTTCCTCTCTTCCAGACGAGAATTTACCCGTGCCACTCTGCCCACTCGTGTTCCCTGTCCGCACGTATGTATCGTTAAAAGTCTGTTACAATAATTAATTATGACAAATGAATCGATAATTAAAGGATTTTATATGAAAATGATTCTCGTCGAGTTTTCTTAGATTTTTTTGGATATATTTTAATACTTGGACAAGTGAGATTGATAAGAGAGTGAAACTGGTGGCATAAGGAACGATTTTACGATTTGATTACAATATTTGCGATCCATCGTAAACAAAGTATTTGATTATTGTTATTTTGTAATATAGTAGAACTCTGTTTACATAAAGTTGTTGCGGTATAAATATATATTTTATATAACTGAAATTCGTATACATAGGAGCCCACTTACGGATTCAACTGGTACAACAGTTCACTTAACCTAATATCAACCAATTCTTAGTATAAACTGATACTAAGAGGTTCTTAGTATAAATCGTTCAATTGCAATGAATAAAATTTTCATTTCGCCTCTACATATATTTTTATATTGATAAGATTTTTTTAAGATCATATCATATTATTTGCAATTGAAAACTTTGATGAAAATACCTCTTACTTACTAAACTTGTCTGTAAAACATGAATTTTATGTTCGTTTTCATTCTTTAGCTATTAGAATACAAATATTGCGTTCACTCTTATTTCTATTTTATTGAAAATGTTTTATTTTTCCTTGCACCAAGATCACTTTAAGATCAATATCTTATTATTCAAAAAACGTGCTTTAGTGAAATATCAGTAATATACAATTTTTCAGCCCCCTCTCTGTGCTGTTTCTTTCATTCTCCTCGAATCTTTCGTTTCCTTTTTATTCATCTTCGTCAGTCGTCGCGAAGCTTTCCCTGTTCTGTTACTGGCTCTCCCCAGCAGCACGCTTTTATAGTGTAGCAAATCGAATCAGAACGCCCCCGCAGGGTCGTCAACAATATTATTTGTTAGCGGAAGTGCCGTAGTAACTGGAGGTTGAAATGAGGCCAGATTGGCCAGGGTGATCAAGTTAAACGGCACGTGGACAGTAATGCTGTTCCCTGCACCACAAATATCCTCTCGTCGATCCTGATCCTTCCTCCGGCTCTCCAGATTTCAACAGATATTATGCTGTGGGTATTTTCATTCTTTTTTTCTCCTGTAAAGTTATTCTAGTTGGATAAATATTTTTTCAATACGTAGCTGTTAGAATTTGATTAATCAACTACTTAATTAAAATAAAAGTGAAATATATCGTTCGTTAGTTTAAAGGTAGAAAATTAATTGATTTATGCCAACAGATCACGAAGTTCATGATTCCAAGGACATGGAATTCGCAATAGATCATGCAGAGATCGAGGACTTGAAAA